GAAATTGTATCCACCAATATTATCTTTCTCTTGAACTCAACAAGGATTACATAGAGTATATGTATTACAAAAAGAAGCAAAGATTGAAATAAAATGAGCGGTTACTGAACATACTCAAAAAGAAAGAAAGAAAGATCGAAAGAAGAGAAGAAAGGAAGATTAAAGGACAGGATGGACATAAGGGCAGAAGGAGATGTTAAAGCCAACAGCACAATGTGTCAGCTCAAATGGACCGTGAGGGGGCAACTGCTGGCTCCTGGGGGATTTTCTTCAGGCTATCAAGCATCACATCATGGAGAGTGGACATGCAAATTTAACTATGGCCACAGCCATAGCCACAGACCCACCCGGATACACACCACCCTGATTTTCTCAAACATGACTCATTCTAAACCCAATGTCTTCATCTGGTCCTCTCCCATCCTCTTTTTCTCTTTCAATTTCTCTGTTTGCATCAGTTACCAGAAAACACTTATTCCTAAACAAAGCCTTAACATTCCCATTAACATGACTGTACTGACTGACTTGTGCCTGCATTAACATTAGCAAAAAGAGGTCTAATCATGGATGGAAATAATGTAGAAGCATGTTTATACTCCCATTTAAACATCAAATCTTAGTAACATTGTTTAAAAATCTAAATATCTCTGACCTCATACAGCAATCAGCCACAACATTATGACCACTGCCAGGTGAAGTGAATAACACTGATTATCTGGTTATCATTGCACCTGTCAGTGGGTGGGATATATAATGAAGCAAGTGAACATTTTATCCTCAAAGTGGATGTGTAAAAAGCTACTGTAGCTCAGATTGCTGAAAAAGTTAATGCTGGTTCTGATAGAAAGGTGTCAGAACACACAGTGCATCACAGCTTGTTGCCTATGGTGCTGCATATTTTTCTTCACTCTCTGATTGCAGCTTGCTATTCACATCTCTCTAGCCCACAGCTGCACAAAAATATAAAGTAATAAATCAGGTTCACCCTTTGCTTTAAATAAAGCATCATCACTGTCCTGCCACTAATGACAGGTCTCACTGAAGCATCATAGTCTACCTTCCAAATTATGCCTCTCAGAGACGGTCTTTTTTGACCACAAGTCCACTTCTTTGAGGGAAAGGAAAAACCCCATGTCTTCCTTTATTATTGCCAGCCAGGCCAGACATTTGGCTGCTCTCATGCATAATAAAGCCTTAAGCATAGATTACATCATTTTCATTTGTTGCCAAACTTATAATATTTGTATAACCTTTTTAGGAATAGTTACAGTAAGTATCAGCCGAGACTCCACACTCTGGTTCATGTAACTGATCCTCAGACTGTTTGTGTTGTTGCATACAGCAACATTTTTAATGCTGTGGACAGCATATTAAAAAGATTCCCAAAAAGACACTGATTGTGTCATATACAATGGGGTTAGAAGTGCATTTATTTAAGCAAGCGTTTGTTCTGTCTTAACAGGCTTGACAAACTCAAATACTCTCTAAGGTGCAGGTTAAACCTCCCTTGAAAAAGCTGTCAGCTTAATGGCCCCTGCCTTATGCTGATAACTGCCAAGGTGTCTCTTGCTCTCTGGAAGTAGGTGGATAAAGGTTCTAAAGCCTTTGTGTAAAGGCACTGTGAAACATAGCCCAGTGTCTTTTTTATTTCTCTCTTTGAAGTGAATTGACATTCAGCTCAGGATTTTGTTGAAAATGCACCCTGCCTCCCAACTCCTGTTTTCTTTCTCTAAACTTCAGCACGTTACATAAAGTTGGAGCAGTGCTCTTGTCCTTGAGTGTAACTTACAGGTTGTTTGCCTTTTGTGTTTCGTTTGAGCTCCAAGTCGATTGAGGGCGTCGGTCATAGAGGGAGAGATGGATAGAGGAGGACACGCTGGCAGGCTGAATGGTGAGAGCCGAGGAGTCTGTCAAACTCCATCTCTGCTACGAAAATGGGAGTAGATGGGCACAACTCTCAGTACAACCATAGCACGTGGAACAGAGTGCAGGGAAGAGGTGAACGTGTGACGGGAATGCCAGTGCATCATGTCACTGCTGATGACAGTCAATTTGTCTGTGAGTCAAGGGGCTTTGAGAGATGCACTCCACTGCAGGCAGCTGTGCTGATGGTATTAATAAGGGGGGGTACTTAGCTGGCTTACATGGACATACTGTACAACATGCGTATCCCACCCATTATTTTCCCAGCAACAGTAGCCATTCACCCTTCTGTTCTCGACAAAAAATTGAGAGCATTTGTGGTTTCCTTACAGTAAATGCTGTAAACAACCTGTATTTATGTTTTTCTGACAAGTGACGTCTTACAGGCAAATAAAGACCGTTATCTCTCAGTAGCCAAGGCAGCAGTGGCATGATGTTGTGATACACCTGCAAAAACAAAGCCAGAAGGAGGAGGTCTGTGTTGATTACTGGGTGTGCAAAATGTCTTGCTTTGACATAGGACACCATGATTTCAACCCACGTTGTTCCAACATCCCCTCTTCTATCTTGCTATTTTGCAATCAAGTAGTTTAAATCATAGTGTATGGTAAACACTTACCATACACTATACCTTACCACTACTATAAGTCCCAGCAGTCATGCATATAAAAAATAAATCATATAAGGTACTTTCGCAACTAAACAGTTTTTTAGAATGTGTGCAAGATGCCATTTTTTTTGTTAGAAAATTCTTCAGTTGGTGTAAAAGGCATCCAGTTATTACCAATTCCCCTGGGTACTGAAGTCCCTGGGGAAAGCTTCCTTTGATATGGCCTTCCATGCTGCTTCTGAGTGCATCCTTTGATACATATGGGGTCACCATGGTTGCTGATTTTCACCTGACAGGGATGAATTTCATTCTGCAGATTCCCTTTGAGTGTTAGTTGGAGCACTCTGGAAAACTGGAGGTACCACTGCTAGTGGTGGAAAAGTTTGCTCCTTTTACCCGACCAGTGCTCTGTCCATATACTGCAGAATGACATTTGACAATGATAAAAAAACAATATATAACTGTGTCTGGTTGGTAAATTATATATTCTATTCATATCTACTACTTTTCCTGCAAAGGTCCATCCTCTCCAGAGATTTGAAGATAAATATAAACATTGACCTCCAGATTGCATAGAATTCTGCTGCCAGATTATTGAAAAGAACTAAGTGTCAGATCATAAATACATCCATCTCTCTACTGTCTGTTAGTTTCAGAATTGTTTGATTATATTTCATATATTTTGGGGCTCAGCTGGCTCTGACTCTTACTTACATCTTTGACATCTGATCTTTTAACCCTTCATAAGCTGCCATCCTGAAATCTCCCGGCAAGGCACTAAGTCTAGGATCAAGACCAAAAGTGACTGAGTCTTTTCCATCTGAGCCCCTGAGAATGAGATAATAATAATAATAATAATAATAATAATAATATATACTGTAGGAATATATACATTTAAATACAGTCACACTTCTTTTGGTATATAATATTTACCTAGTTACTCTAGTGCATTTGTAGTTGCTTTAACCTTGTGGTAAATGTACACATGGAATGAATATTAAAAGGCCAGCACCCTGACCTTAACACATACAGTATATTTGCATCCTTTGACTATATTGTGATGTATGCATCAATTCATTTCACAGATAAACTTGCAGTAAAGAAGCCTCGCACTAAGAGAATCTGAATGATGAAAATATAAAAGACAATTTATGTATTACTTTTTAATAATTTATCACATTATAAATACCTCTCTTTTTCAGCAACCATGTGCAATTTAAATATATTTTAAGATGTTTTAATATAAGGTAATCATTCTTAGCTTGAGGCATGAAATGAAAATTGTGATAATTAGTTATCGTGAGCTAAACTTGTAGGTGCTGTAGTGGAGAACCACCCGACTTAGTCCTGTCAGGATCTACAGTGATGACTAGTCTGATTATAGAAACCCCTGTAGCGGTTGGAGGAGAGCAAGAAGATGTGTTCTGGTTGCTCAGTGTTGGGCCACGTTGTGGAAATCTGACTAACAAATGGGCCGGTGGTGAATGCTACTTGAATAAGATATGATGGAGATCAGACAAGAACTACCCTGGATGTAATTACACAATTGAACCAGTAGGGAGCACACTTTTCATACCATCTCAGTGTAGTCCATGGTCCTGTACGTTGCAGCTTTTTATAGTGAAGGGTCAAGGAAACAGCTCTTTTTATACACAATACATGGCACTGCATTAGCATTAAGTGTATGCTATTGAGGAGTTGAGTGCAGCATATCAGCAGCCTCCTATGAATTTTACTGTATACATAATCTACTCCACACATGAAAATCCAAGGGCAAGTGTAGCCTGTATTAATAATAGGTTCAGTAACTATTATGCCATTTTTGCATCACATGATGAATTCCCTGACAACATAAAATTATATGAATTTTTAAAAGGAGAAATTTAGACTTAGTCACTCATAGTAAAACAATGTCAAAAACACTTATCTAAACAAGGTTTACTAAGTGGGAATATTTATGTTTTTCAATGGTTTCGATTATTCTTTGTTCGGCCCAGAAATGGTGACACTAGAAACATCAAGAGAGAGAGAGCCATTAAATCATTGAATTATTTAACAGAATTATGAATAAATATGAGTGTGAAGATTACTCCTAGGTAATATGAAAATGGTATTCTCGCCCCCTCCCTCTCTCATTGTCCCCCCCAGCATACTCTACCCGAGCGTAATTAGTCCATATTGTATCAGTCTGGTAAAACACTCGCACAACACGGCACATAACGTAATTGTTGTTTAATATGTTTTAAGTACGTTTTTAGCTCGCCTGGTCTCTCTCTGTATATATTATTAATGCAACGGTTATGTATAATAAAATGTATATTATAGAAAGTTCTTAACGAATGTCGATTAATTTAATGACATGCTTTAACACATCTGCTAACTTCTCTTGCTGATCTCCTGCCTGGAATCATTTGGAGATGTGGGTTTGGCATGATCCAGCATCTCTAGTTGAAAGATGAGAACAACTTCGAAGGTGGGCAGGACAGGGCAGGTATGGGGATTTATAGGGAGAGGGAGTTGCTTTTGCTGCAAACGGTTTTCCCGAAACCTTTGCTCTCGGGTCCCGCGCCAGGAGTTCGGCATTGTGGCCCGGTCTACTATCCGCTTGTTCTTGGAAAAAGCGTCAGAGAGCAGCTGAGAGAGGCTTAACATTTCAAACGTCTGGCGGTAGGCTGCAAAGTTTCCACCCTGAAAACACCGTCATGTAGCAGCAGCGGCGGCAGGCTGAAGCAGGACACCACACCTCACGGCTTGGTGTTCAATAGGAGTTAGTTTGCAGTAAAGTTTGTGGCGCACACTCGTTTTAGTCTCTGTCCGATGGAAGCTGGTTTATTTCGTATAGGAGAACCTGTCTGTGCGTGTTCTGTTGCAGGTGCAGCAGTGCTGGAATTCAATTTCTTAATTCGTAATTGTATTCCTGTGTTTCAAATGCGGCGTTATACAACATGACCGTTATAATTTATCAGCTCTATCAGCCTTTGAACATTTTGACAGGTAATGAATTTATATTTTAGATTTAGAGTTAGATTGATTCTGTTTCAATGAGAAACCATCATAATCATGTTTGACTAGTTGTATCCTGAGTTAAAATAATTTTTTCCACCTTGTGCGTAAAAGTCTGCTCAGCATAGTGCATCACGGTGAAAAAGTGAGATTCCGGTCCTCTTAGTCATAGATGTCCTCTCAGCTGGAAGGAGGCCTGCAGCTGGAGACAACAGCAAAACTTGATGTACTAAAATCCGAAGAAGTTGTTGACGTGACAAGTCCTGACGGATGCGCAGGGCAGCAGGGCTGCCGCGAGGACAGAGGAGGAAATAAACCGTCCCCGTCTTCAGAGCACCATCAGCAGAAACCACGCAAGATGACCCGGAGCCCCAAATGCGCCCGCTGTCGCAACCACGGCGTCGTTTCGTGTTTGAAAGGCCACAAACGCTTCTGCCGCTGGAGGGACTGTCGCTGTGCCTGCTGCCTGCTGGTGGTGGAGAGGCAGCGCGTCATGGCAGCTCAGGTCGCACTGAGGCGGCAGCAAGCTGCGGAGGTGAGGAGAGCACAAGGGCAGGTCAGTGATGGAGAACAGATGGGTGAAACCATGACTTTCAGTAAACGATTATCAGGAGACAAACCGTCATTAACGGACAAACAATGAAGAGCAAAACTACATCCGGGATAAAATGTTTAAAGTTTGAGAGACTGAAGGTCAGAATGTAGCTATTTTAATTCAGCACATTATTTTATTTAGCTGTCCATGAAATATAATTTTCTGAAGGGAAATCTTTGCATTAAATATTTTACACTTGACAAAGCTTGAATGCTGAATTTGCACTAATATTACTATTATCCATATTTTAAAATGTCGTGTGTGACTGACATTATAGTCCGACCATCTCATGGCCCATGGCAGTACAGAAGTAAGCTCTTACTTGAATATGGGTGCAGAACTAGGCTGAAGCTGTTTTTTTTTTCTGCTTTTCTACAAAAGAGAAATATCTTTTTTTGTATAGTTAAAACAGATATTTAACATTTGAGTGAAGTTTTAGTACAAAGTGATTGTTAGTAGTGGGGCTCCTAGGTGTTATTCTAAAGACTTGAGTGAGCTTTCCAGTTAAGGTTGTTAAACATTATTTAAGCAGGAAGTCTCTTTAAGATCAAAATATCTTTAACAAGAAAGACTATATATAAACTACATATTTATGGTTGTATCGAATAAATAAATATTGCAATAATAAAATACTCACTAAAATAGGAAGTATAGAATAGAACAAGACATTTAAATGCTCCTCACAGAATGATTTACATTTATGTCTCCAGTGTCAACATACCATATCTTCACATCATAGAATGACAATGAGCTCTACTTGCCTCTTACATAATGTATTAATTCCCTTTAATTACCCTTGGGGCATGGTCTCCGTATTATATGATTATGTCCGAATGTCTAATTCATGTTCCCATGTTTCTCCCAGGGTAAGAGGGGGGTCAGGTGTGCTGCTCCGTTGCGGAGGACGGCCTATCAGCGTTACACCAGAGCAGCCGAGCCAAGCATCCTTGCTAAGAGCATCCTGCAGGGTATAGTTTAATTAACATCTTCTTTCTCATTAACGTACTTCTTCTCTCCAGACTGTGATAGAAAGTGCAGGTTTTTTTCTCCCCCAGATGGATCTCTTAAAGTCAACTTTAACATTTAGTTAAATGTTCTGAGTTCCCCAGAACTGATGCAAGATCACAAACTGATCAGTTTGGTTTGTCATCTCATAGTGGAGCAAGTGACTCTCTGCTTGCTGACCTGTCAGACTAAATTCTTGTCCAAGGTGAGCTGCAACTGGAACAAAAACATTTAAAAGTAACCTCACTTGGAATAGAAGTTTAGTAAAATGTACTTACATAAATCAGATCAATATTTCATTGAAAGATTTGGTTTGCTGGAGGTATAACCCCAACCTTTGTTCTAGCCTTAGTTTAAGACTAAGCTTAGTCTCAACCAAAAATAAATGGTTGACTTTGAGGGGACCAGTGTTTGTTCTTATACAGGATGTTAGTCCCTACAGTGTCACTGAATAAACAGATATCTGTATGTCACCATAAGTAGACATACATACTTTCACATAAATGATGATTTTTGTGTACATATGCTGACATTGTAACTGCAACTGCATTTTGAAGGCCTACTTGGGCCCACACTGCCAGTGATTCTTCTCAGATGTCGTTTCCCAGCATTACACACACTTAATTTATCCAAACAAATGTGATAACTGTGGCTTCACTATTTCACAACAACAGGCCATTACTGTAATACATAGTGTGTTTTAATACCTGCTGGCTTGCAGTCACATCTTGCTGGAGGCTTTGTCTTCTTTATAGCCCTTTCAGCCTCTCCGAGCTCTCAGTAAAGCAAAAATGACACTGCTAACCAACTGCATGATTAAAATAATAAAGAACAAAGTACTCAAACATAAACACAACAATTAATTGGTTGGAACAACTTTATTATTCATCAATAAATTAAATATATGAGTACATAAAAGTAGCACGTGGCTTTGCTCCCAATGCAGGGCTCAAACCAGTGGTGCCGCTGGAGGATGACACCTCCTGCTGGTCAAAGCAGACACAGCGCGACCAAACACACTTCACGTGTCCCTCCATCAGCGCCCGGATGAGGAAGAGGCGAGCCTTTGCAGACAAGGAGTTGGAGAATGTGATGCTGGAGCGGGAGCTAAGACAAAGAGAGCTGCAAGACCTTTCCTTCACCTCCTCTGGCCTCGTCCCTGTGCTTCACCCTCCGCCCCTGCCTGTCTCCCCAAGCCTTCACTGCTGTCTTCTCAACAAGGACCCCACCACTGCAGGCGCGTCCAGTTATGTGCCTGTGTATAAATATAAGCCTTTGTATGAGTGTGATTTCCAGTTCTATCAGTTCTTCCACCTAAAGAGCAAAACCTCTGCAGAAGGTGACTATAATGACTTATTATGCCAAAGCGCAGAGCAAAATAGGGAGGATGAGGAGGTGCAGAACAGCTGGAAAAGCTGTGAGAAGAAAGACCAACCAGAGCTGATACATCTATCATCACAACAAAGACTCAAACATCATGGCAGCATCTTGTCAGGTCTAGATCTTGTCAAATCCCCTTCAGAACTCAGAGAAATAATGGACTCAAATGGCTCTTCAACTGTCACACACTCTATTTCTGGATCAGATCAGGGTATCCTGGGCAGGCCAGACGTCAGTGCACCCAGCAGGACTTTTGATCCCAGAATCCTGACAGCTAAGGGCTCGTGCACAGACACTCCTGCCGACCAGGCAGGCGCTCACGCTGACTCTGTCAAGAGCCCTCATGGCAGCTCAGTCAGGACTCCAGCTGTGAGGCCATTACCTTTCTCTGTAGAGGCTTTGCTGAGGGCCTGACTGGCAAATGGAAAGCAGTGTAGTGCACTGTTTATGTGCGGACTAAGAATTGATGTTGAGTGAATAAATATAGAAATGGCTATAGGTGTATTACAGGTTTTGAAACACAAGGGCTGGTTGTTATAAAGTGGCAATAGGTGAAATATTTATGAAAAAATATGAATTACAGTTTTTGTATTTTTATTATTTTTCATTAATATGTATTTAGTTATATTTTAACTGTATTTAAAAATATATCAATGAAACATAGATATCTACTTGATAATTATATTTTCATGTGTATGTATACATTGTGCATATTTTGTACAAATATACACTTTAGAAATATAATCCTGTTTCCTTTGTCAACAAGGTGATGAAAATGTACTGAACCGCTTTGACCCACTCACATCAATCAAGAAGAAATATACAGTACATCCATAAAACAAAGTTCATGAAAAAGTCCACATTTGTGTTTGAACTTGTGCCCATTTCTTACTTCATGCTTTGATTTTAAATCAAAGTGTAGCTGTGTCTGGCTGATCTCTGAACTGCTCTAAGGTATTGTGGTGACAAAATAGGTGCATATCAGAAATCTCTCTTTAATCACATGAAAATAATGAAACAACAATGAAAGGATGAACGTGAGGTGAAGCAGGTGGTGACAGCTAAAGGAACAAAGATTTTCTAAAAATGTTCCTGCAGTGAAGGGGCTGACAGCAAACAGACATATAACTGATATTTCTGCATCTGTCCTCTCCTTTTTACCAAGTGAGAAATATATTTTCATTATTTATTCATATTTCGTAAGCTCTATTGTTCTTCAAATGTAAGACATTTTGTCAGACTGCAGTCTATCATTATGATTGTAGAACCTTAAGCTTACTGATCATATGGCATACTGTTTAATATTTCATAGACTATCATTTCATCACACCAACAGAATGAGGGAAGATGGGAAATATGGAAAAAGGGTGAATGGGAGGGTGCCAGCGTTGCCTAGGCGACATTGTTCTTTATTGTATGCTGAGCCTGATGCCGGCGGAGTTTGTTTGAACACGCATTTGATCTATATCCACTTTTTCTCCCCTTCCACGTTTTTGTTCTGTGCTGTAATCTCGCAGAGATGGAGGTCAGATACTTTTGACAACTCTGGACCTTGTGGCGTCAACACGGAGGTGATAGCGTGCTGCTCCGTGTCTCTGTTTGCTAGTATCTACCAGCATATCAGAATGCCTTTCTCCCTGTCTTTTCACAGACAGACAGAGAGGGGAGATTGGCACAAAAGAAAGATTAGGTTATGAGCCTGAAAGCACTGAATATGTGCCATTGTTTTTTATTGTACACTATCTGCGCCAATTTTACAATATTAAACCTCTTCCTTGCAGAGAGTGCAAATTGCCATTTTCACTGCGATGATAAAAAGATAAGCATCAGTCACAAAGGGGTGATAATGACTTCTGTGAAGAATAACACAGAGGATATAAATCAATTTCCCCCACGGCAAAGCTAGGGGAAAAGCTCATTTATCCAGTTCCCCCATGTTTCATTCTGGAGTGTCCTTAGACGAGCTGTGTGGCAGCTTAATAGATAGCGACCCTGCTCTCAAATGCCATTCACGTTCCACTGTTCTTGTTAGGATTGTGCCAGGGACAGACAGATTAGCTTTATTGTTCTGTGCTCTTTGGAGAGGTCGGATTCGATCTCCAGTCGCCGGTTTATTAACATTTTTCCTTTGTGGACCAGGGGAGGACAGGAGGGAGAAAGAGGACGTATATGGGGGTTATTGGATTCAGGCCAGTTTGCTGACAAAGCAGTTTCAACAGGTTGAAACATGTTTCTGGATTTGTAACAGCCCCAACCCTTCTTCTCCCTTGCCCTCTGCATTTTGTCGCCCACCTCTGTCGCTCCTGCTGTTCATTTTCTTGTTGTGCCTCATTTCCATTTCAGCGGGATTGATTTCACTCTGTTCAGGGTAGAAAAGCTTTGCTTTGGCGTTTCCCTGTAACTCTGATCTTCATATTTTCATCATGCAGACTATCAGCAGTAGCAGTGACTGGGAAGATGGGAGAAAATAAAGAGAGGAGCTGGAGAGAGCTGATGGGTGGGGGAGGCATGACAAAGAGCTAGCCCACAGGTAGGCTCCAGCTCCTTCACACTCTTCACCCCCATCCTGTTCTTTCCTCTTCCTCCTCCCATTGGTGAAGCATTGCAGTCTTTACCTACGCCACCATAAGCCGGTTCCTGGCCCAGCATAAGCCATCACACTATACCTGTATAGTACAGAACTATCACAATGATCTTTGTTTTCCCATTTCCTTCATTTCCTTTACCACCTTGCAGTGTTTACACTAGCTGTGTGCAAAGGCAGACGTGCAGAGAAGGTAAATTCTCATTCAAGTGAGTTATTCACCCCAGTCTCCCTCCAAGACCTGATTAAAGCAGCCAGACCTCTCTAGTTGTTCTGGTATGATCTACATATCAGTCATAGCTCTCCCTTTGGACAGATCATCAGCAACATTTAGTATCAGGGTTCAGTGAAAGCCTTTGATCCTCCAGCCAGCTCTACTCATTACAGACGAGAGAGTGGACTAAAAGCATATGTCTTGGAGTGGCAAGGTCCTGTCCCTTGGCAATTCTAAGAGAGCTGCCACCTGAATTTAATTATGTTGTTGGGATGTTTAGACACTGTGAAGAACTCTCCAAGCTGATGAGGACCCACTTCTGACACACCGAGTTAATGATTATCTGGTTGCTACACTCAAAATGGCTGCATTTGAACTTGTATGAAGACAAGCTGTCATAGTTGTTTTGTCTTATAAACCTGTATTAGCATGACAAAATTTCAATGATATGCTGTTGAACCAAAACAACCAAACCTCATTAGTGCCTGAATATTTGCTTCATACTGATTTGTTTTCAAATGATCTCATGCCTTCAAGATTGCAGAATGAACAATGCTAATTTATTTAGAAGAATTTAAGTGATCCATAGTTGGACTTAACAATAGCCTGCTTGGGCTGTGGTACGTGTTTGTGGGATGGTAAATTTAAATTTAAAGTTTGTAACGTGTGAGAGGTGGGTTGGATTTTTTTGGACTATGTATTGGTGATTGCTATGGTATGTGAACCTGCTGTGATGTGGTTGTGTCACAAGAGCTGTAGGTAAACTGCTTTTAGTGCTTGGTTTGAGTTGATCCTAGCTTCCTAGTTGGATTTGGTTCTCTCATGACAGCCTATGAGGTTATAAGATCTGGACACACCAGGATTTAAAATGTAAAAAAATTCACTGCAAAATGTATTAATTTGCATGCATTCACTTTTATTTAACTTCTTCCGTTGGAAAAAACTGCTCTCCACAAGAGAGCAACAGTTTGCAGACAGTTATGTGGCAGGCGTCTATGATACAAATACTGTATGTCTTTTGAACTTATTGTCCCGTTATCGACCAAGCTAAGCTAACTAACAAACTAAGCGAACTAACCATTAGCAAGCTCAAGTGTCCTCTTTAATCACTTTTTATTGAACAAAATGGTGAACAACATGCCAGGGGAAGTGAATCAAAACAAATTGTGTAGGATTAGTGTAAGTGAAGTTGCAGATTACAACTCACTTACTTTACCCTCCCCTTCCAAGTGCAAAGGAGAATTAGAATGGCCCTATCTGGAGTCAGTCGTGGGGCTGGGCTAGAAACATGGTGGTTCAACATGCAGCATCCATTGAAGGAAAGTCGGACTGTATGTCAATAAAAATGACAAAACAAAACAAAAACATAATGATGATAATGATTATACATGAATACATGAAAACATAACTATGAGTATTATATTCCATTTATGGAATAGATGGCTGATAAATGACATATAATAAAGACATTCTGCAGGTACTGGGAAAAATTTAAACACAGGAAAATACAAATATATAAATATTTATAAAGATATAAATTATTTTTATTCTACTTGCTCATGCATGCGATATAGATTTCTCCATGTGAGTTGTGTTGTAATAAACCTGGGTAACATTATTTGACATTTTTCCACTATCCCTAAGGACTTTATTTTGTAAGACCGCTATCTTTGGTGTAATGATGGATGTTATCATTACACTCCGGGCACTATTCCTTTTATTTATTTCAAAGAAGTATCTGCAACATTGAGTATGAGGGGTCAGGGCAGAGTGTTTGATCTGTCTGCCAACTTGCCACGCACTTTGGATTCTCCCTTGTCCCACCCTGCCCTGCAACAGCCCTGTATGCTCTCTGGTGTTTGGTAGCCAAGCCTGACTGAGAGATACTGGTGTAGGGTTACGCTACAGCTGTGTGCCATTGCCTCAGTTAGCACACAATCCTTTCGATGCCGTAGAATGACCTCTCAAAATGTAAGACAGATTAGCTAAGTATAAAAGTAAACATTGTCCCTCAGGCATGATTAAGGCACAGCTAGTGCCAAACAGTAAAAAATGTGCTTCACCTCTTCAACTGTATCCAGAAATGAGCCTGTTGTTGTACATGTACAGCCTGTCAGTTTGAAATGGCAACCTTCAATAATACTGACCCCCTCCAGCCAATAATGTAACTTATTTAGACACTAGAATGTGGTGCCAAGAATCATTCATCCGGCGCCCGGTTAGCTCAGTGGGTACAGCTGGTGACCCATGTACCGAGGCTAAGTCCTTGCTGCAGCGGCCCAGGGTTCGAATCTGACCTGTGGCCCTTTGCTGCGTGTCCATCCCCTCTCTCTCTGCCCCCTTTCCTGTCTGTCTTCAGCTGTCACTATCATAAAGGCAATAAAACCCCCCAAAAATACAAAAAAAAAAAGAATAATTCATCAAGTTTTGTCCTAATTTGACAGGGATAACTGAGAGATATGTTTGTTTTTTGGACCTCCAGTGATCAAATCAATACATGTTTTTAAAGTCTGGAATACAGTTTGAGCATATATAGTCAGAGAGTCAGAGCAACTGTGATTAAGATATCACCTGAAATAACTTATATGATTGACAGACTCAGACAAACAAGACGCGATCAATAGATCACATCACCAGACAACCTAGTTAAATCAGTCTGCACAGTACAGGCGGATTTCGTGCAGTGCAGAGACTGTGCTCCTCAGTCAATGGCAATGATTTCACAAAAAACAGACAGAACACCAGCACAGCAAACAGAGTCAAAAAAAGTATCTTCCCTGGATGAAGATCAAGAAAATAAATAGTATCCCTTGAATAGAGAGACATGAATGTGTTTATTTAAAGTTAAGGAGTCGTTATGATACCTTGACATTTTGTTTTAGTGCCAAGAGTTACATGTGTGTCTGTCGTCTGTACGATAAATATACAGCCAGCAGCACCATTAGCTTAGCTTAGCTTCCAGTCTTTTCAGGTTTGGACAGATTAAAAATGCATAGGGTGAAGGGCTTTTATTTTTAAAATCAGTCATTTTATTTTTACTTAAATGTTTTTTCTCAAAAG